ACTAGCCAAGCGTTACCGTTAACGCTGCACACTTTGCCACTTATAAAAAGTAAACCAAAAGCCGACTAGCTAGTGCATTTCTGACTTTCAATCAGAGCCTCATTATTAATTCAAACAGTGGTAACAATTAACAGTAAGAAGAATTGTTTTCTATTTTTGTGAGGTTTGATGTTAATTCTCAATTAAATTTTGCTCGTGTTTTATTAAAATTTTTTATGGATATGAAAGTGACTTGGACGATAAGAGATGTCACATCGATTACTATGCAAATATGAGCAAATTTCATGGCCTAGTAAGTACGCATCTAGGAAATAATTTGGTTTTAAAGGAGAGAAGCGTTTCGCAACATTTGGTTGTTTGCGCAAATCTTGATTAAGAAGGTCAGAGTCCACTTTCCTCGGCTTAACTTTTGTTTCAAAGTTATTTTCGTGCAAAAAGTTTTGGAAAGGGAAATTGCATTTATTATGAACTTTCCGTCACATTTCAATAAAAAAAAAGTTTCCGTTACATATTTAATCTTATCTTTTTTTTCTCTTCTAAAAGGATACTGAGGTTTTGAGGCATTTTGTCTTGGTTCACGTTCCCTTGGAAGTTCTCGCTGAAAGAGCCGAGTCTGCAAAACTGAAGGTTCCCTTTCTGGTTAACGACACCACTTTTACTTCTTGGATGGAGTACTTGCTGGGATCAACTGTAGTTACGGCCATTAACAGGAGAAACCCTTTTAAGATTCGTGATGCATCTATTGAGAAAAATACGGATTACTTCATGGGCCAATTCAAAAGAGATCATCTTTCCAAGTATGTCTTTGATCAGAATGTCGGTGAAAATTCGCTTTTTCCAGTCACTGATCGCCAACATCTTCTGCAGCAAATCCTTCACAGCACTCCATTCTCAGATCAACCGGATGACGTGGGTCTCTCGAAGCTTCTTTATGATGGTGTATATCTGGCATGTTATCCTTTGCATGAAGGAACACATCGATTAGAAAGTGGCGAGTCTCCAAAAAACAAACGCCAGCAATTGAAGAGAGACTGGGCAAGATTTGGCAGAATTTTCAAATACCAGCCTTACGACGCCATCAAAGAATACTTTGGCCATGAAATCGGCTTGTACTTCGCCTGGCTTGGATTTTACACTGGCATGCTGGTTCCACTTGCAATGATTTCTTTGATCGTCTTTCTTTATGGCATTATATCAACTGGTTCTCATATTCCAGTACATGACATGTGCAACGAAGACAACAGGGGTCGATGGTACATGTGCCCATTGTGCGATCGACAGTGTAGCTATTGGAATTTAGCTCCAGATACATGTATTTACGCCAAATTAACCCATTATTTTGACAATAATGGAACTGTGGCTTTGGCTTTCATCGCATCCATATGGGCGTCACTTTTTCTTGAATTCTGGAAACGTCGTCAAGCTGTCCTCGCCCAAAAGTGGCACACATCAGAGTTTGAAGAAGAGGAAGAAGAATTTCGCCCAGAGTACTTAGCAAGCCTGACTGAGGAAGAGCTTAATCCTTACAAACCTGACCCGTTAACCGGAAAAATCGGCCCAAATGTTTTCAAAATCAAGAAGTTTCGACGATTGGGTTTTGTGTGCAACGCCATTGCCTTCATGATCCTTCTTGTGATTGCAGCAATGGTAGGTGTGGTTGTGTACCGTGCAGCAGTTTTCGCAGTTTTCAGCAGCAGTTCTGACAAGAAAATTGAGCAGGGGGCCCGGATCCTGACAACAGCTACAGCAGGCTTGCTTAACCTGATAGCAATCACGATTTTAAAGTTCGTCTACAACAAACTGGCTGTCTTTCTGACAGACTGGGAGAACCATCCCACTAAAACAGCTTATAAAGATAGCTTCATCCGCAAGATGGCCCTCTTCCAATTTTTCAACAATTATACTTCTATATTCTACATCGCTTTCTTCAAGTCAGAAATGATTGTTGGGACTCCAGGCAGGTACAGAAGAGTGCTGGGTAAATATAGACTGGATGGGTGTAGCGAGCAAGGATGCTTTCTGGAGCTGGCCATTCAGATTGCTATCATTATGGTTGGACAACAAATTTTCTACAACATCACAGAAATTGGAATTCCGTGAGTACTTTCATATGATTTGTTTTATTGAAGGAAAAGTAGTTAAATGAGCTTTTGGGTCAACAACAACAACAACAACAAGAAAAAAACAGAGGTTGTGGTTGATGTGCCCTATGGATTTTGCTGCCATCACTGATGTTGTTGTGTTTTTTTTTGCTTACTTTTTTGTTTGTTCTCTTGGTCGGCGTGTCAGTCACATTTTTCGGTTGGAGTTTCATCTATCTGAAAGAGAAGACATAAATTTTCGGTCTGTTGGTTCTATATTTTGCATCGTGTCTAGTCAAGTTTTTTAAAACGCCAGGAGGATATCACACCAACAAAAGTTACTCATACACTTAATGATGTAATTTGTTATTCTTTCCATGGTATGTAATAGGCTAAAAGAGAAAATATTTACTTATAGTACAGCTTAGGAGCGCAAGCAGAAGTACAAATGGTCTCAATATTTTGAGGACACCCTTCTGGCGTATGTACGCCCCAAAGTTCGTGACTTTTTGACCAGTTGAGCAGCGCAATCATTAACGGAGATCCGCTCATTTCTTCAGGTACATAATGTTGTTATGGAAAAAGCGAGGCCAGGAGAAGGTTGGTGATCGACCACAGTATGAACAAGATTTTGATTTGAGTCCATTGGAGCAACATTTCATGTTCTGGGAATACCTTGAAATGGGTGAGTCTCGACAATATATCGGAGAAGCGTGTTTAAAAACTTCATTTTAATCACTCATGTCATTTTTACCTTCAGTTCTGCAGTATGGCTTTATAACCATGTTTGTGGCTGCATTTCCTCTTGGCCCATTGTTTGCACTTCTAAATGTAATCGTAGAGATTCGCTTGGATGCCATTAACTTTTTGTGCCACTTCCGCCGTCCTGATGCCGTCCGAGCTGAAGACATAGGAGCCTGGTACACTGTATTGGAAACCATCACTAAGATTTCCGTGTTGGTGAACGCGTTTGTTTTGGCTTTTACCTCCGAATTTATTCCCAAGCTCGTCTACAAGATGGTCTACTCGGGACAAAATGGCGATCCCTCGAGTAAAGGGACACTCATAGGATACGTCAATAACAGTCTCGCATCCATTGACTTAAAGACGCTCTTCACATGGGAAAATGGCACGCAACCAATCAATCTCACACAAAATCTCAATTACACGCGGGACTACTGCAGGTAAATTCGTCAGGGGAGATGGTCTTTAAAGGACCAACATGCTTTTCCAAGGCTCAATCAATTAATATCGAGGTTTAGTCGTGGCACAATGGAGGTATTACAATTCATGAGAGATAATATTAGAATGAGGCTACATATGTCTCAAGAGATATCTCCCCCAGTTATCTACTTTCTTTGTACCCTCTAAGAAGCTCGAGAAGAACAGCATCCCTACAGTAACATGAAGCACTAGTCACTTTCCATCATCCTAAGCTCTAGGATGGGGGGGGGGGGGGGGGGGGGGGGGGGGGTAGGGGGGTCCTGGGGGCCTGTGACACCCTCGTTATTATGCATAACGCACAAACACCGCGTAAAGGTCGACATGACGATCTGGTGAGTACCCTCTGTATGACTAATTACGACCCTCCTTGTGAAAAATCCAGACTACGGCTATGGTGCTATTCGTATTTCAATCTTTTCTGCTCTTGGGTACATAATTGTGGGTGGTTAGGGTTATAACTTTGTTTGCTTTTTTATGACATTGTGTTAAGCCCCCTTGTTTGCATTTCATTTAGGTATAAAGGTTACCATGACAACTTTTACCCGTACAAGCGCTCCAGTGAGTACTGGAACATTCTTGCTGCTCGACTCGCTTTCGTGTTTGTTTTCCAGTTAACTGTGTATTTCATAACAACATTCATCGCATGGATCATCCCCGACATACCTGAAGAACTGGAATACAAGAAGAAGCGAGAGAAAGAGCTGGAAAAAGCAATTATCCATGATCACGTTAACTCGAACTTCTAATATTCTCGTAATTCGCCTTCGTCGCTTTTTAAAGTAAAGGATGAGTTATCATCACAAGAAAAACAACAATTACAATCTTTGTTGCTTAATATTTTAGAAATTATACGACAATTTTCAAATAAATGAGCCAAAAGGCCTATGAATGAATTGTTCATAGACTGATTATTTGCAAATAGAGAGAGTACAGCCACTTCAAAAAGCGAATGCTTAAGTTCAGCTAAGTGCCTCGTCGTTGCGGTTAAAAGAATATTTGAAAAACGTGAAATAAATGTGATATCTTATCTTACAGTTAT